TATAGCTCATGGTTTTTACCAAAATTGGCCAATTTTTAACATGGTCATTTTTCACAGATTCGGCCACATGGGCCTAAATGAGTATCATCCGAATTATCATTATTTAAGCTTAAAACTAGGCTTTAAGTGGCATTTATCAACCTGCAGATGAATCTTGTGATCTGTACGTGACATGGAATACGAAACAACGGGAAAATGGCGGGATAAAAAAAATCGTCCGAAAAAAAGTATGGGCTATAGCTCATGGTTTTTACCAAAATTGGCCAATTTTTAACATGGTCGTTTTTCCCAGATTCGGCCACATGGGCCTAATTGAGTATCATTATCATCCGATTTATCGTTGTTCAATCTTAAATCTATAGGCTTTAAGTGGCATTTATCAACCTGCAGAGGACCCTCGTGATCTGTAGGTGTCATTGAATACGAAACATCTGAAAAATGGAGGGGTCAGAAAAATCGTCCAAAAAAAAGTATGGGCTATAGCTCAAGGTTTTTGCCAAAATTGGCCAATTTTTAACATGGTCATTTTTCACAGATTCGGCCACATGGGCCTAACTGAGTATCATCCGAATTATCATTATTTAAGCTTAAAACTAGGCTTTAAGTGGCATTTATCAAGCTGCAGAGGACTCTTGTGATCTGTACATGACATGGAATACGAAATAACGGGAAAATGGCGGGATAAAAAAAATCGTCCGAAAAAAAGTATGGGCTATAAGCTCATGGTTTTTACCAAAATTGGCCAATTTTTAACATGGTCATTTTTCACAGATTCGGCCACATGGGCCTAAATGAGTATCATCCGAATTATCATTATTTAAGCTTAAAACTAGGCTTTAAGTGGCATTTATCAACCTGCATATGAATCTTGTGATCTGTACGTGACATGGAATACGAAACAACGGGAAAATGGCGGGATAAAAAAAATCGTCCGAAAAAAAGTATGGGCTATAGCTCATGGTTTTTACCAAAATTGGCCAATTTTTAACATGGTCGTTTTTCACAGATTCGGCCACATGGGCCTAAATGAGTATCATCCGAATTATCATTATTTAAGCTTAAAACTAGGCCTGTCTCTTATACACATCTAGGTCAAAAAAATCGTCCAAAAAAAAAGTATGGGCTACTGTCTCTTATACACATCTAGATGTGTATAAGAGACAGGGCCTAATTGTGTATCATCCGATTTATCGTTGTTCAATCTTAAAACTATAGGCTTTAAGTGGCATTTATCAACCTGCAGAGGACCCTCGTGATCTGTAGGTGTCATGGAATACGAAACATCTGAAAAATGGAGGGGTCAGAAAAATCGTCCAAACAAAAGTATGGGCTATAGCTCATGGTTTTTGCCAAAATTGGCCAATTTTTAACATGGTCATTTTTCACAGATTCGGCCACATGGGCCTAACTGAGTATCATCCGAATTATCATTATTTAAGCTTAAAACTAGGCTTTAAGTGGCGTTTATCAAGCTGCAGAGGACTCTTGTGATAACATGGTCGATTTTCCCAGATTCGGCCACATGGGCCTAATTGAGTATCATTATCATCCGATTTATCGTTGTTTAATCTTAAAACTATAGGCTTTAAGTGGCATTTATCAACCTGCAGAGGACCCTCGTGATCTGTAGCTGTCATGGAATACGAAACATCTGAAAAATGGAGGGGTCAGAAAAATCGTCCAAAAAAAAGTATGGGCTATAGCTCATGGTTTTTACCAAAATTGGCCAATTTTTAAACTGGTGTTTTCCCAGATTCGGCCACATGGGCCTAACTGAGAATCCATCCGATTTATCATTATTTAAGCTTAAAACTAGGCTTTAAGTGGCATTTATCAACCTACAGAGGACTCTTGTGATCTGTACGTGACATGGAATACGAAACAACGGGAAAATGGAGGGATAAAAAAAATCGTCCAAAAAAAAAAGTATGGGCTATAGCTCATGGTTTTTACCAAAATTGGCAAATTTTTAACCTGGTTGTTTTCCCAGATTCGGCCACATGGGCCTAATTGAGTATCATTATCATCCGATTTATCGTTGTTCAATCTTAAAACTATAGGCTTTAAGTGGTATTTATCAACCTGCAGAGGACTCTTGTGATCTGTACGTGACATAGAATACGAAACAACGGAAAAATGGAGGGGTCAGAAAAATCGTCCAAAAAAAAAAGTATGGGCTATAGCTCATGGTTTTTGCCAAATTGGCCAATTTTAACATGGTCATTTTTCACAGATTCGGCCACATGGGCCTAACTGAGTATCATTCGAATTATCATTATTTAAGCTTAAAACTAGGCTTTAAGTGGCATTTATCAACCTGCAGATGACTCTTGTGATATGTACGTGACATGGAATACGAAACAACGGGAAAATGGCGGGATAAAAAAAATCGTCCGAAAAAAAGTATGGGCTATAGCTCATGGTTTTTACCAAAATTGGCCAATTTTTAAGGACTCTTGTGATCTGTACGTAACATGGAATACGAAACAACGGGAAAATGGAGGGGTCAGAAAAATCGTCCAAAAAAAAGTATGGTTTTTGCTAAAATTGGCCAATTTTTAACATGGTCGTTTTTCACAGATTCGGCCACATGGGCCTAACTAAGTATCATCATTATTTAAGCTTAAAACTAGGCTTTAAGTGGCATTTATCAACCTACAGAGGACTCTTGTGATCTGTACGTGACATGGAATACGAAACAACGGGAAAATGGAGGGATAAAAAAAATCGTCGAAAAAATAGTATGGGCTATTATAATAGCTCATGGTTTTTGCCAAAATTGGCCAATTTTTTAACCTGGTGTTTTTCCCAGATTCGGCCACATGGGCCTAACAGAGTATCATCCGATTTATCATTATTTAAGCTTAAAACTAGGCTTTAAGTGGCATTTATCAACCTGCAGAGGACTCTTGTGATCTGTACGTGACATAGAATACGAAACAACGGAAAAATGGATGGGTCAGAAAAATCGTCCAAAAAAAAGTATGGGCCTATAGCTCATGGTTTTTGCCAAAATTGGCCAATTTTTAACATGGTCGATTTTCACAGATTCGGCCACATGGGCCTAACTGAGTATCATCCGAATTATCATTATTTAAGCTTAAAACTAGGCTTTAAGTGGCATTTATCAACCTGCAGAGGACTCTTGTGATCTGTACCTGTCTCTTATACACATCTAGATGTGTATAAGAGACAGTTAGACTCAAGTTTTGAGAATAAGAGTGCCATTTCCGGCCTCGCTAGAGGTGCCATAATCATAAATGTTCTTACCTCAGCCCCAACCATGGTGGGGCTAAGGTAGTATAGACCCGCCGCCTCTGAAAGTCCCTCTCTGCCCCCCCCCCCCCTACTTCGAACTGCCCCCCCCCCCTCTACTTCAAATTCCTGGATTTGCCACTGGAGAAGCAGACACACAAGACGAGTGGACATTATTTTTTTTCATGGCAAACGAAGGGGGCTCAGCCACTTTATTCACTCCCTAGATCCACGACTGCGCATTGGTGTCCTTGTTTTGTATTAGTTCTATTAATCTGATTAATTACAGCGTTACAGGGAGTGAAGTTGTTTTATGAGAAGAAAATAATTATTTAGGATTGGAGGCAACCTTTAATCACCGAGCTACAACCCCAATCCCCTCTACATAATGGACCTTCCCGCTACGCCCCGCAACTTGAACATCGTGGCGGGTCTGGTCCCTCCTATTGGAAAGTAAAAAAAAAAATTGAACGTCAAAAATGCATCAGAGTTTATTTTTTGGAGTCTAGAAAACGACGCTTTCAATCGGGCATCTCACTACGGTAGTGTTGTCTCGATCAGCCACTTTCGGCTGCCAACCCCCTCTTTTTGGACATCTCTGGATCCGCCCCAGAAAACGACCATTTTACAATAGGACCATTTTACATCTCTCCTCCGTAGGAAACTTGTTTGTGATACACGCGCGGCGTATTCCTAGACTCTTTCGATTGGTCAGTTATCTATTTATTTTAATAAAAATGGCAAATATTCAACCACTTGCCATCTTTAGTTCTCTTGGCATCAGGCGTGACTTCCGAACTTTAAACTTTAAAGATGTATTGACCCATGCTAAATGCCAAAAAAAAATAAAAATAATATTTTTTAAAATTAACTTGCCCATTTTGAAGTAACTTAAAAGTTATCAACTTGAACATAGAAATTAGTGTATTTAAAAAATGTCTACCCATCAGTTTACAGCGATAAATGATAGAAACACTTCCAGTCACTGGAAATGTTTTATTATTTTCATTATGATTTTTTGGTTTAAAAAATCAGGGTACACATTTTTTAAATTCAATAATATTTATTCACAAGTTAATAATTTGTATGCTATTGCAATATGAGCAAATTTATTTCAAAATTATTTTTTTATGATTTTTTGACATTAGCAAGGGACAATACATCTTTAACTTTGTTTACGCCGCGAGTTCATGAAAGTCAAACATGGAGTCTGAAAATTGGTAGAAATTTTAAAGAACTTTCAACAGAAAAGGACATCGAAATGAGTGCATACTATTTTCTAATATTTTCATATTAACTTCGAGTAGGTAAATAAGGTTCTTTATAGACTTGTTGCGCTATTTATATTGGTGGTTTTTGTATTAATTTTTGTACCCCATTGATTGAAGTAGCCGGCGAAAACATCGTAGTAACCGATCGAATGCGCCGGCCACAGGCCGGCGCATTCTTACATTGGTTGTACCATGAAGTAATTAGTTGTGCGGACTGTATTTTGCTATGGTTTGTGAATACAGACAGGGCCCACACTTTGTCGAGGAGATTAATACAAAACATAGCCGAAGTTATGCATGACGTCAACATACGAAGCAACTACCGTTCCAATGACTGGGGTAATAATGTGGAAAAGCGCTCTGAGACAGTCGTATAGAGCGATATATAAAAACCTGCATATTATGAATGCGCCACGATAAATACTTTTTTTATAATCGCCACTCTCGAATAAGCGCCACACTAAAGTCGCCAAAAAATTCTATAAGCGCCGCGGCGCTTATTCTAGTATTTACGGTACTTATATTATACCGTATTTGTAATAAATCATTCATTAAATTAAGTTTTTAAAACATTCGTAACACAAAGATGTTCAAATAACTTTATTTGGCTTTGAATTATAACCTACAGCCTTTTCACACAATCCCTTGCACTGCGTAGTTGTTCCCGACGCAACAGGGAACGCGCTCTGATTTAACTGAATCAGCGTCGCCAAAGAAGTCGGCGTTAGTTTCTTGTAGAAACCAAGCTTTAGCGAAAAAATAATGTTTAATGTTTAGATGAGCTATACTAAATCCGAACGTCAACGTAGTTGAATTTGCGGCGGCTCATCGTCCATGCTTTTCCAACTTTGCACTTGATCAGCCTTCGATCTACTCAGGTTTTTCTGGAATTTCTCATGTGTGCACCCAAATATTCCACCTAAAAGTAAAAGACAAGTAAAAGATTAATGTCAACATATTTTTTTTTGCGCATGGGTAGTGCAATATTATCATTCATAAGAAAAAAAAAAAGTTTTCATTTTTTATTAAATAATCTTTGTTATTTTATTGGAATGGGACAATAGAATGAAGACTGGAATTGATTGATCGATTGATTGACTGACTGATGATTGACTGATTGATTGATTGGTGGATTAACTGTACCTGTATGGATGAAGAGAATGCGGTTTCCTTTGAAGACCCGGGGATCGGTGTTGAGCTGTTTTACGAGACCGTATGCTGCTTTGCCGGTGTATGTTGGATCTAGAATAACTCCCGTTTTCATCGAAACACTTGTAATGAATTCTGGAGAAAAAAAAAATGTATTCAAAATATTGAAGATCAAAATTAATGTAGTTGTAGAGCAAAATTTACTACACGCTCTAAAGATGTGTATAAGAGACAGACAACCCCAATCCCCTCTACATAATGGACCTTCCCGCTACGCCCCG